CCATCTTTCCTTTTCTCCCTAGAAACCATGATGTAGCTGTGAATGTAGTTGTGAATGTAGCTGGAAGAAGAATATAAGGAGTGCTATGTAACTCCTCGATACCTAAACCTCAGAAACAGTCTGGAGAAAATCTAGAGGCTGAGTCAAGGTCTAAGGACAGCTCAGAGACCTTGTCATGCCTTAGCACCCCACCTTGATGGGCTGAGCAGGCGAACACCTGCTTCCATGGCTACCCAGAGGACATATGACTGCTGTCCTCTCCCTGTGCTCCTGCGGACACTGGCACTCTTCAGGACTCAGGGGGCTCACAGGGAATCATATAGGCTGTGCCCTCAGGGACTCTTTGGTCCCTGCCTGGATAGGAGTTACCCATCCCATCCCTTCTTGGAGCAGGACAATGCCCCAAGGGCGAGCTCAGAGTGTGGTGATCGGCGGAGCAGAGTCTGGCTGGAGGCCTGTGACTAGCGGTGTTCCCCAGGGGTTGGTGCTGGGTCCGGTCTTGTTCAACATCTTCATCGACAACCTTAATGAGGGAATAGTGTCTCCCCTCAGCAAGTATGCCGATGACACAAAGCTGAGAGGAATGGCGGACATACCAGAAAGCTGTGCTGCCATTCAGCGAGACCTGGACAAGCTGGAGAGATGGACAGGAAGAAATCAAATTAGATTTAATCTTATTGTAGAGTGTAGTGTAGAGTCCTGCATCTGGGAAGGAACAACCCGAAGTATCAGTACAGGCGTGGGGTTGTCCTACTGGAGAAGAACTCTGATGAAAAGGACCTGGGGGTCCTGGTGGACGAAAGGTTGACCATGAGCCAGCAGTGTGGCCTGATGGCCGAGAAGGCCAGTGGGATCCTGGCATGCATTTAAAGGAGCGTGGCCAGCAGGTCAAGGGAGGTGATCCTCCCCCTCTACTCTGCCCTGATCATGCTTCACCTGGAGTACTGTGTCCAGTTCTGGGCACCCCAGTACAAGAAAGACAGCGATCTCCTGGAAAGAGTCCAGCGGAGGGCCACAAAAATGATACGGGGCCTGGAGCATCTTCCCTATGAGGAAAGGCTGAGAGAAATGGGTCTGTTCAGCATGGAGAAGAGAAGACTGAGAGGGGATCCCCTCAGTCCAGCCAAGGATGTAGCCAACCTCTTCTCAGTAGTTTGAGGGGATAGGACAAGGGGCAATGGCTGCAAATAAGAGAACAGGAAGTTCCACACTGACATGCAGAACAACTTCTTCACTGTAAGGGTGACAGAGCATTGTAATAGGCTGCCTAGGGAGATTGTGGAGTCTCCTTCTCAGGAGATATTCAAGGCCTGTCTGGATGCCTACCTGGGCAGCCTGCTCTGAGGAACCTGCATTGGCAGAGAGGTTGGACCTGAAGATCTTTCGAGGTCCCTTTCAACCACTATACGACTGTGATACTGTCATCACCCAGACCGTTCATAAAGCTGAACGGAACTGTGCAGACGGGACACTCAGGCTTAGTGTCAGCCAACCATGCTTGCCACCAGCTGCGGTGGGCTGTGGGGAGCAGCAGGTGACGATGCGCTCCCTGGTCCAGACGCTGCAGCAGCGGGTGTCGCTCTGGAAGAGGAAGAGAGGGGCCACTGTCATTCTCTGGCCTGGGAGGGTCCCTCAAGGAGGATCCCTCCGCGGGCAGATAGAGGAGTCCCTGTGCTGCCTACCTCTGCTGCTGCAGCTGCTCCTCCTGGATGTCCCAGCTGCCTGGTGGGACCAGGGCTGGGAGAAAAGCAAAGGTGGCTCTGAGAGCTACACGAAGCAGCTGTGAGACCGCGACCCAGCACCAAGGCACGCCTAAGACCGCACTCCAGTCCTCGCACAACCGCTCGGCTGGAGGGGAGGCACAGGCCACGGGGCTGAGCTGCCGTGCCCACATTTAAGCAGTGAGGGCCACGCAGTCACAAAGCGTCACCTGGAGGCAGCCCAGCGCATCAGCGGGATGTCACAGACAGTTGCCGGGCACATCGCCGCCCACCAGCTGGGGACATCACCACCGGGTTGTCCCAGTCCATCGCTGTGCCATCACAGTAGACCTCCTCACCTGCAGCACGTTCTCCAGCCCCAGCACACCTTTCTGGGGTTTCCACAGTGCCACTGCCTGCTCCATCCACCGCGTCTTGTGGGCTTGGCACTGGTGTTTCCTATCAGCCCCTGAGAGCTTGGCCGTGTCTTCCTAGGGCCCCTTTGCCACAGGCACGCACAGCAAGAGGGTTTCTGCCAAAAAACCTCACGCTTCCCTCGGAGGCCGCAGGACAACGCCGTACAGGCTCTCCCCATCTCCAGCACTGCTGGCCAGCCCTCCGGGATTACTAGGTCCCACCCAAAGGAGGTCACAAGGAGTCCCTGGCTGGCTCTCGGGGATCTTCTCCTCCTTGCAGGGCAAGAAGAACGATCGAAAGGTGTTAGAGAGCATCCAAAGGAGTGCAACAAAGATGCTAAAGGGTCTAGAGGGGAACGTATGAGGAGCGGCTGAAGTCACTTGGATTGTTTCAGCCCGGAGAAGAGGAGAGCGAGGGGACACCTCACGGTGGTCTACAGCTTCCTCACGAGGGAGAGCAGAGAGGCAGGCGCTGATCTCTTCTCTCTGGTAGCCAGCAACAGGATCCAAAGGATTGGCTTGTAGCTGGGACAGGGGAGGTTCAGGCTGGACATCAGGAAAAGGTTCTTCACCAAGACGGTGGTCGGGCACTGGAACAGGCTCCCCAGGGAAGTAAGTGGCCAAGGCACCAAGCCTGCTAGTGCCTGCTGAAGAAGCGTTTGGACAACACTCTTGGACAGACACATGGTCTGATACTCTTGTTTTGGCGTGGTCCTTGGAGGGAGTGAAGCAGTGCTTGCTGGTGTTCAGAGGGAACCTCCTATGTTCCTGCTGGTGCCCGCTGCCTCTTGTGCTGGCACTGGGTACCACTGGAGAGAGCCTGGCTCTGTCCCCTCTGCAGCCTCCCTGCAGGTGCTGACAGACATTGATGGCCTCCTCCTGAGCTTCTCCAGCTCCCTCAGCCTCTCCTCGCAGCAGAGCTGCTCCAGTCCCTCCCGCGTCTTGGTGGCCTTCCACCGGCCTCACTGCAGTGTGCCCAGGTCTGTCTCGGACTGGGGAGCCCAGCACGGTCCCAGCGCTGCAGCTGCGGCCTCGCCAGAGCTGAGCAGAGCAGATCACCTCTCTGGAGCTGCCGGCGACACCGTGCCCAATGCAGCCCAGGCCAGCATTTGCCTGCTGTGCAGCCAGGTCTCGTTGCAGCTCCCGGTCAAGTTGGTGTGCGGCAGGACTCCTGGGGCCTTTCCTGGTGCTGGGCTTGCTCCTCCCCAGGTGCAGCACTCTGCTCTGCTCCTCGGTGAAGCCCACCAGGTTCCTACCAGCCCATTTCTCCGGCCTGGCCTGGTCCCTCTGGGGGGTGTTCCTCTGGCGACTCAGCCACTGCCCAGGTTTTGGGTCATCCCCGCATTGATTGAGGCTGCACTCCCCCATCACCCAGACCGTTCATGAAGCTGTTAAATGGAACTGGAGCCAGCACTGACCCTGGAGCATTCTGCTCGTTGATGGCCTCCAAGTGGACTCCATGTCGCTGACCTCCAGCCCACAGGCCCGGTCGATCAGCTCACTTCTCAGCCCGCTCCCTGCCTGCCCGTGGGGATGGGCTGCAGGTGGCACCAGGCCAGGGAGAGGCACTGGTACCCGCAGTGGGACAGGGACTGGGATGGGCACAGGACAGGGTCCTTTCCAGGCGCGTGCCCCCAGCCCGTCCCAGTGCTGGGCTTGTTCCTCCCCAGGTGCAGCAATTTGCCCTTCCCGTCGTTGAGCAACTTGGGGTTCGTGCCTGGGCAGGACACAGCCCCAGATGCCCACGAGAGCAGCAGCACTAGGCCGTGACTGCACAGGAGCCATCTGGGTGCCACCATGGCTGGACCACAGCAGCAGTGCAGGCTGGCAGGAGAGCAGAGCCCCAGCCGCGGGCTCAGAGGCTGCGGTGAGGAGGAGGCCAGGCTGGGGTGATGGAATCGGGGAGTGGGCTGGGCTGGAGACCCCAGGCTGGAAACCCCTTCCTGGGAGTGGCTGTGGAGACGCAGGCTGGAGCGGGGCAGTGGGTGCTGTCAGGGCAGCAACGCAACAGGGCAAAGAGTGGGCACGGCGTGGGGAAAGGGAGGAGAAAACAGCAGGGGTGGGGATGGCAATGACCCAGTGACCACTCTGCTGTTTGCGCCACTGACAGGTTTCCTGTGATTTTTTTTTTTTTTTCTGTGTGGTGGAATCGAACCCTGATGACCTTCGGGTCCTTTGGGGCCGGCGTGTGTCCGGCCCTGGTCTTGGAGGGGCTTCTATTGTCCGCGGCGGGGTGGCCTCTTCTTGGGTGGTGCAGAGGCCTGGGAGGAGTTGGTCTTCCTCTTGGGGGCTCGCCGGGGACCCCCAGGTGGGCAGCCCCTGCCCCGCCTGGCGGTGGAGGGCCCTGCTGTGGCTCCTCTTCAGGTGCTGCCTGCTCCATGGGGAGCGCAGCTGGCGGGGAGTGAGGGCGGCTGGCATTCCCTCGAAGGGCATCTCTTGATGTGCCGGGCACCTCATCCCTGCTGGAGCTGGCAGGATGGAGAGAGGGCACAGGTGCAGGAGCCACTCCGTCGGGGCCGGATGGGCCGGCTTCTGGCCCGGGGCTGGCCTGCCTAGCTCGGCTGCAGGGGGAACGTTGAGGCCCAGCAGGCGGTGGGCCTCCCTGCTGCACCGCTGCACGGCGACGTCCAGGAGGTGACGCACAAACGGCGCGGCGTTCTCGCCGAGGTCGTCCTCCACCAGCTGGAGCAGCATCTCTTCCTCCAGTCCGACCAGGCGCAGGGTCTCCCTGACGGCGTTCTCAAAGTGGAGCGCCGCCGAACGCCGTGTCTGGCAGATGCGCCGCAGCTCCCGGCGCACCCAGGAGAGCAGGGGCCGGAGCAGAGCAGGGTGCTCCCGGAAGAGGTGGCCCCAGGTGTCCGCGGGGAGGCCGCCCACCAGAGGGCTGGGTGCCACCCATGCAGCCCACGGCCACGCTGCCTGGGCCTCAGAGGAGCTGACGGCGTCGATGGATGCCGCTGCCGACGGGCTGATGACCAGCTCCTCAAACTTGTCATCAGCCTGCACCGAGTGCACGATCGCCGTCAGCCTCCGCTTGCACTCGGGCTTGGTGACAGCCCACCGCTGGATGCACGGCAAGCAACATTGGTGGCAGCGCGGCACGGTGAACGCGGGGCTGCCCCAGGTGTCCAGGCATATGGGGCAGCGAGTGTCCAGTGCCGCGGCCATGCTTGCCACCAGCTGCGGTGGGCTGTGGGGAGCAGCAGGTGACGATGCGCTCCCTGGTCCAGACGCTGCAGCAGCGGGTGTTGCTCTGGAAGAGGAAGAGAGGGGCCACTGTCATTCTCTGGCCTGGGAGGGTCCCTCAAGGAGGATCCCTCCGCGGGCAGATAGAGGAGTCCCTGTGCTGCCTACCTCTGCTGCTGCAGCTGCTCCTCCTGGATGTCCCAGCTGCCTGGTGGGACCAGGGCTGGGAGAAAAGCAAAGGTGGCTCTGAGAGCTACACGAAGCAGCCTGAGACCGGACCCAGCACCAAGGCACGCCTAAGACCGCACTCCAGTCCTCGCACAACCGCTCGGCTGGAGGGGAGGCACAGGCCACGGGGCTGAGCTGCCGTGCCCACATTTAAGCAGTGAGGGCCACGCAGTCACAAAGCGTCACCTGGAGGCAGCCCAGCGCATCAGCGGGATGTCACAGACAGTTGCCGGGCACATCGCCCCCACCAGCTGGGGACATCACCACCGGGTTGTCCCAGTCCATCGCTGTGCCATCACAGTAGACCTCCTCACCTGCAGCACGTTCTCCAGCCCCAGCACACCTTTCTGGGGTTTCCACAGTGCCACTGCCTGCTCCATCCACCGCGTCTTGTGGGCTTGGCACTGGTGTTTCCTATCAGCCCCTGAGAGCTTGGCCGTGTCTTCCTAGGGCCCCTTTGCCACAGGCACGCACAGCAAGAGGGTTTCTGCCAAAAAACCTCACGCTTCCCTCGGAGGCCGCAGGACAACGCCGTACAGGCTCTCCCCATCTCCAGCACTGCTGGCCAGCCCTCCGGGATTACTAGGTCCCACCCAAAGGAGGTCACAAGGAGTCCCTGGCTGGCTCTCGGGGATCTTCTCCTCCTTGCAGGGCAAGAAGAACGATCGAAAGGTGTTAGAGAGCATCCAAAGGAGTGCAACAAAGATGCTAAAGGGTCTAGAGGGGAACGTATGAGGAGCGGCTGAAGTCACTTGGATTGTTTCAGCCCGGAGAAGAGGAGAGCGAGGGGACACCTCACGGTGGTCTACAGCTTCCTCACGAGGGAGAGCAGAGAGGCAGGCGCTGATCTCTTCTCTCTGGTAGCCAGCAACAGGATCCAAAGGATTGGCTTGTAGCTGGGACAGGGGAGGTTCAGGCTGGACATCAGGAAAAGGTTCTTCACCAAGACGGTGGTCGGGCACTGGAACAGGCTCCCCAGGGAAGTAAGTGGCCAAGGCACCAAGCCTGCTAGTGCCTGCTGAAGAAGCGTTTGGACAACACTCTTGGACAGACACATGGTCTGATACTCTTGTTTTGGGGTGGTCCTTGGAGGGAGTGAAGCAGTGCTTGCTGGTGTTCAGAGGGAACCTCCTATGTTCCTGCTGGTGCCCCGCTGCCTCTTGTGCTGGCACTGTGGTACCACTGGAGAGAGCCTGGCTCTTCCCCTCTGCAGCCTCCCTGCAGGTGCTGACAGACATTGATGGCCTCCTCCTGAGCTTCTCCAGCTCCCTCAGCCTCTCTCTCGCAGCAGAGCTGCTCCAGTCCTCCCGCGTCTTGGTGGCCTTCCACCGGCCTCACTGCAGTGTGCCCAGGTCTGTCTCGGACTGGGGAGCCCAGCACGGTCCCAGCGCTGCAGCTGCGGCCTCGCCAGAGCTGAGCAGAGCAGATCACCTCTCTGGAGCTGCCGGCGACACCGTGCCCAATGCAGCCCAGGCCGAGC